TCATTACCCATTCAAGCCGTCTCCAGCCATTATTAATCTCAAAGCGGGTTCCTCGTCATCGAATTTGAAACCCTAGATTTTGGCATTATCAGGTTGTAGCCTTACCGTTGACCCAACGGGGTGGGGTGGGGTACAACTTCAGTAGTTATCTAAAATGTAACTTAAGTTAGTGTATTTTTTACATTTCAAATTGGTCTCACTAGTGAAACATTACTAATTTTACTTACTCCAACAACCCTCAAATTTTGCTATAACATTTTGCTGCCTTTACCAAGCGTAGCGAGTGCTGTGATGTCATATGTCCTTCAGAATTCAGCCATCAATTAGAAAAAAAAATGTAGGCATAAGGTAGAAATGTGTGGATTTCTTTCTGTTATTTGAACCCTTTTATCTTATTGTAATAAAGTATAATTTGTACGTTGTCTAAGTCACATCTTCACTTTGGCCTAATTAAAATTAAACCGCAAACCCAGCAATTTAACACATGACGTAACGTACACTGTACACCTAACGTTAGAGGTAACCATTGATTGTACTGATAAATAAAAACAGGAAAAGCAGAGAAACCCAAATTTCTTACTTCTACTAATCCTCTTTATATATACGACGCCACTATACATTGTGTAAAAGTAGCAAAGTGTTATTATACAAAGGATTGAGTACGTTATATTAAAACTATTTCGAATGTGCAAATCAGAAAGTCGTGTAACAACCGCCAATATGAAGTCGCAGTGAAACGGAATAAATCGGAACTATATTTGGCATTTTTGGTGATTCGTAGGTAGTATGATGTAGGTAGTATGACTCTGCCGACAACTGATCGCTTTTTTGGAAAGGATATTTAACAGTCCTTTCTGATTTATGATATTCATATTCTCAGATCATAAAGATTTGTCCTGAACGGGGATTTTAGACATCCCTTTTTTTTTGGTACTTAATGGCATTGGTAAACAGAGGGATATGAATTACTTTGGGGAACAGAACCGTCCAAAAAAGACCTAAGGTAAGTCATGTCCCAGACGTGATAAGTAAAGTGTAGCATATTGTTAAAGGTGAGAATCCACAAACACAATAGCCAGTGGTAAAAGCCACCAACGTGTCCCAGCATCAATACACCACATTGTTAGATTTTATATGTATGAGCCAGATTCTTTACAGTATGTGACTTTTTGGCGATAAATTTCAACAATAAACAAATAGCGCACAGTCTACCTGTTTTAGAATAATATATTAAAACAAGTCAAATGTATATACAAATGTTCGTTACACTGTTGGCCATCGCAGTTGTATCCAGAGTTTTAAATAATTGCCTCTTTTTCATAAAAAGTGACATAGGCTGGTTCAATTACTTTAGAAAACAATGGACAAGACAATTTATTCCTCTCTACTCTGTTATTACAATACAATCTGTGATCATTTCACATTAAAAATCGCCACTATATGCTCTTTATGGCTAATTTCAAAATCACACAGTCTAGATCTATCTACCTTTCGAACTAAATTTTCAATGCATATTTATAGCCCAACAGAAGGCCTAGAATGTTCCACACAGTACGAGATATTATGATGTAATAATACTCAATTAAAACAATGAAAAAATTCAGAAGGTTCTAGTAACGTGACATAATAATACAACAATCGCCAATTCATAACAGCTTAAGTACACAGCGTATGATTCGAAAACAGTTACATAAAAAATGTGTGATAAACAATTGCTTCTAAAAGTAAGTAAATTTAAAAAAATTCTATAGCTAAACCACATAAATCATAACATTCGCATTAAACTTAAACAGTCTTGTATATGTAAAAAACACTATCAACAAAGATGTCTGTCTGGAAAAGTATTATGTGTTTGTTATTTTATTATATTTCATGCAAAACTGACCAAGAACTATCTGTGCTAGTCTTTCCTACTTGAGAATAGATAGCCTATAGAGAAGGTAACTAGTCAACACTGTAAACCACCATAGTGAAATTTAATTGCCACTCTCATAATGCATCTTGGATCTCAAAGAGTGGAGCGGAGCTATTTTTTTAATTTACAGTAACTGGGTTTGAACCACACAATGTCATATTCACAATTTTATATGTTAACCAGTGGGCTGCACTCGGCCCTACATTAGATGGATTGTGGAAGGCCTGCAGAAAAGTCGTGTGCTTTGGTCATGACAGTCTCATGATGGAGTCTTTTGCGAAGGAAAATATAATACAGGGCTATTTTTAAAATGCAAAAATGTCAACTAGAGTATGGCCAGACATAACGACATGGTGAATTTCCAAAAGCCTTTTGATTAACTACTCAACCCCTGCAGTAACGTCTGATGGCTGATGGGGAACCATTATCTGAGTAAGTTTTCACTAGTGAAACCAGGTTTTTCCATCTACATAACACTACTTTCGTAAGTATTATTAGCCGCTGAAGGTAATTAATTTGATTGGCTTTTATCAAACTGTAGAAGGTACGCTAGATTTAGGTAGTTTGAGATCCTCATTTTAGGTATTAGGTGAAATAATTTCATTTTAAGGTTTAACCAGTTTTCACGAAAGACTAATAATGGCTAGGCGTGCATAAAGTAATCACAGTGCAGACCATAGAATGTGGTCATTAATTTACCTGCATTTACTTAAGGACTTGCTCTTGACTTGTGATTATTAAATAAACTTTTCGAAGTGAAGTCATTTTCTTTTTAAAATGAACACACACACACACTTTATTTAGCCAAACCCGAGTCATGTATATTTGGTTATTATATATGTCTTGACAGTTATGTTTGTGTTAGTATTAGAACTAGCTGTCTGAACTTACCACTTTAGTGTTTATTTATTTTAAATACCTGATAATGAACACAGGTCCTCCCCAGTGTCTCTATGAAGAAAGTCATCCTTCAACCAGCTACTGGAAAGGCACCCATGCTTTCGTTCGGATAGAAGAGGACCCTTCTGAAAAGTCCCTCGCAGGTATACAAAACATCAGCTAACACGTGGTAATGAGCCTTATAGCTATAATATTTAATCACAAACCGAACTGTTTCAGTTTGGACAGATTGATTCGATCGGTTGAGCTCATAGAAACAAAACAAGAATTTCTTGCTTTACATTGCTGGTTTAAATATTGATTTACTAAACTTTTGTACTGTAGCTCTCTTTACACACTTTTTTCTTTAAATTTTTGATAAAAAGTTTAGAAAAAACGACCTTTATAATCCATATATATATATATAAGTATTTTTTATTTTAACCAACGTTTCGCCTTTGCGGCTTCATCGGGGTTAATATACACAACTGCGAATCGTTGGTTAAAATTTAAAACTTTTTTATATATATCTGGAGTATAAAGATCGATTTTTCTAAATTTGTTTTCAAAAAAGTAAATCTCTCCAGTATGCACTACACACCTTGAAAGACAACAAAAAATCCTTCTTTCACATTTTATTTGATGTCTAGGAAATGTTGAAGTTCACGACTTAATTTTATCACAAGAGTATTTATCTATCCCAGAGGAAAACCAAAACAACGTTTCAAACAACCAATCCCCTGTAAAGTGCCTTGTAAAATGCAGATTTTTGGCGATCGCAAAGGGTCCTTAAGGCCCTCTGATCTGAACGGTTACAGATGATTAAGGCCGTAACTTCAGTGCTGAGCAATAAATATAAGTAGGTGCATGGTAGTGATCGTGTTAAATCTTACTGACACATCTTATACATTGATGTTTCTTTATTTATCCGCAGTGACTCAGGCGCTCAATATCCACTTTTATGGAAAGAGAAACTTCTAAAAAAATCCGATAAAAACGGAATTTAGTGATTAATATACTAATTTTGTACACGGGAGTTATTTATTCAACAGTATTGGTTAAAACTTGGATAAATTTATACCGTTTCCTTTAGTTTTTCTATTTCTTGACAAAGCCACTAATTTCAGAGGAGGATTTCTGAGTGCTTCTAATAATATAATAAATAATTGTTGAAGGGAGTAACGTAATGTTTACTGTCGATCAACCAGAAGTTTCTCTTGTATGTATTCGTACCTTCATACACCTTTTTATGAAAAAAATACTAGAAATTGTATTTTTTATGTAACTTGTTTATTCTTCTAGCTTCTCCAAAGCGAGTTACTACCAAAAAATGTGTAAAATCATCTTACAGATGAAGATGATGATATTTATTTATAAATGTAAGGTAAGCGATGATTGTGATCTGTAAGTAAAGTCTTACATTAAACTATACACTTTATTAAATTTGATTTTTTTTAAATCTTACAATACGGAGGTGTCTCAACTTTCAAACTGGACGTTATCAAAGAAAGACGTCACGTGACTCAACGAATAATTCTAGTTATGCTACTTGGACCTAGAATTGTAAAAACATTATGTGCAAAGTTTGTTCACTTTCAATTTTAACTTAAATATATTAACTTTATTTCAAATATTCAAACGTTGTCTGCTTAAATGCAACTTAAGTATAATTTATTAATTTCAGAAATATCTGTTGTCAAGACGGCCCTCTGTGGACGCGTTCGTTCTCATCATGCAAAGTAATGTGGTAAAATATATCAACGAGATTATTAATTCAAGTACTAAACAATGTGCCAAGTTGTATCCATTGAGGTTTTGTGTATAACGATTTATTGCACCTATTTCTATCCTTCAAGAAATACGCTCTTTGATCACGGGGTGCTGAGTGCCAAACTTTGTTTCCGAATATTTACACTAATTGAAGAACATGATAATGGTTAATAGGTGGCGCTGTACTCTCAAGAGCAAAAAGAAGGAGCTGTAACACCACATTCTTAGTCTGGGAAGTAACCACTTGTAATTTCTGTGTGTAAGTGCATTTACTACAACATTACAGGAAAATTTCAGAATCACAAGTGTGAGTGTCAGTTCAGTTTTTCTTTTGTTTAATGGTATATATTTGTTACCCTTGTTTATCCAATAGCAACACAATGTTCCGATTAGTAACATCTGTATTATCAAAGTGCTTTTTTCAGCGTTCCACTAGGTGTCGCCTTGATAGTCGTGTTTTGTTAGTTGTCGCATAGATTGTTGTAATAAATGTTGATAGCATCGCTGCATGGTTTATTAATACTGCTTTAATTGCAAATGTTAATAGTGATTAAATTAAACACTTGCTGGTGTGATAACTGAAAGCAATTAAAAATGGCGCTTCCTCTCTTTGGTCAGAGGTCGCTGCAACGCCAAAGAAAAAAGTGTTTTTTTTTCCCACATATATCAGTTCGGTTCGCAGTATTATTTTAACCTTTTGTTACCTGCATTCACGAATAAATTCAAAATATCAGATTTCAAATATTTCTTGAGTTACATTTATCAAATAAAATCTACTGTATTGAAAAAAAAGTCTCACATGTAACAATTCTCTTTCCAGTTTCTATAAAGTGAAAGATAGAAACGTTGAATCTTTTAGTTACAATAAATAAATCTGTTTTCCTTAAAAACTAAATAAAATATAAGTGACGCGTTATTAATCGAAGAAGTTCAAGTAGTATTGTTCTATAAATAGAAGTTCGAATGATGTTATTATACTAAACAAATAGAAGTTCGACGGATGTTATTATAGTAAAGAAATAGAAGATCGACTGACGTTATTATACTAAAGAAATAGAAGTTCGAGTGATGATATTATAGTAAACCAATAGAAGTTCGAATGATGTTATTATACTAAAGAAATAGAAGTTCGAGTGATATTATTATACTAAACAAATAGAAGTTCGACCGATGTTATTATACTAAAGAAATAGAAGTTCGAGTGATGTTATTATAGTAAACCAATAGAAGTTCGAATGATGTTATTATACTAAAGAAATAGAAGTTCGAGTGATGTTATTATACTAAACAAATAGAAGTTCGAGTGATGTTATTATAGTAAACCAATAGAAGTTCGAATGATGTTATTATACTAAACAAATAGAAGTTCGAATGATATTATCATACTAAAGAAATAGAAGTTCGAATGATGTTATTATATTAAAGAAACAGAAGTTCATATGGTGTTATTAAAAACAAGAGGAAATTCAAATTACTGTTATGAATAAATGGCAGTACAGTCAGCATTGTGTTAAACCAAAATAAGTTTAATAGGTATTTTAGTAATGAACAAGAAAAACATATAATAGACATTTTTATATTAAATAAAAAAGTATACATACGATTTAATTCCTTAACAATTTTAAGTTGAAATTACATTACTGTGTTAAAAATGATAACATTGTTTTGCTACGCAAAATATGTATACAGGTTATGTTTAGTGTTAAACAAGATCACATTGTTTTGTTAAATAAGCAGAAGTGGTATTGTTGAAAAAAAAAATAACATAATATGTTACTTAAGACAAAACGAAATGATATTGTTAAATTAAACAAAATGAAATACAAGTGATATTATTTACTAAAACAAGGAGAGAAGTACGGGTGACATTGTTATACAATATGAATTTCAACGAGAAATGTGTTTGTTGTATAAGCTCTGTCATTTTTTGTAGAAAACTCATTAACCCAAAGAAGTATTGAATATGTCGTTGTACAGAGTAAATATATGTGTGAATATTGTACGAAATAAATCTCTTTAATATAATTATTGGTATTAATATATATATATATATATATTTAAGAGTGTATAATGCTTTGTTCTGTAAATCGTATTTATTGCGTATAAAAATATCAAAAAAAAAGCTGTAAAATAGCTCTTTCCTTGCAACTTGAAATGTGACCTTTGACCTTTCCATTATCGTGATCTCCTACTTATCACCAGCGAAAAAATAAAAAATAACATATCATTGTTATTTGTAGGCTTTCAGAAGTAACACACAGACATCGTGTCAAGATGGTGTATACGCTGTTGTTCAAGTTTCCTTAGTAATATATATATATATACATACACTTCAATTTTTGTGACAAATGTTCTAGACTAGTTGAATATTTACCAACAAAAAGTTATATGTGGAAAATGTGATAAATTTCTCTGTATTATCTCAATCTTTTACACAAACAGGTGCCTACGAAATTATTGATTTTCTCTGACAGTTCATCAGATATCCAAGAAAAAAGTTTCTGAAAATCATTTGCCAGTAAAACTGTGTTGGAAGGTATTGAAACTTTCCTAATTACTTTGCCTTATCTATTAAACTGCACCTAATATTCTTTATTGTACTGCTCTACCTCTTCTTAGAACGATATTATTTCCTTTTTTAATTCCCATCCAGCTAATTGTTAACTTTGTAATTATTTTATGTGTTTTCTCTGGTGATAAACATCAAAGTAACCATCCTCAGTTGTTCATCCGGTGCAATAATCTTGTCCTGTTTTAATCCAGCTATCTAGCAAACTGCCCATTGTTCTATATTTCCTGCTGCTGTTTCTAAACATCCATCTCTCTAATAATCTTTAACCCAGCTATCTAATAAACTGCTCATAGTTCCTTGTTTCCTGCTGCTGTTTCTAAACGTCCATCTGTCTAATAATCTTTAACCCAGCTATCTAGCAAACTGCCCATTGTTCTATATTTCCTGCTGCTGTTTCTAAACATCCATCTGTCTAATAATCTTTAACCCAGCTATCTAATAAACTGCTCATAGTTCCTTGTTTCCTGCCGCTGTTTCTAAACATCCATCTGTCTAATAATTTTGACTTGTTTTATCCAACTATCTAATAAACTGTCCATAGTTCCTTGTTTCCTGCCGCTGTTTCTAAACACCCATCTGTCTAATAATTTTGACTTGTTTTATCCAACTATCTAATAAACTGTCCATAGTTCCTTGTTTCCTGCCGCTGTTTCTAAACATCCATCTGTCTAATAATTTTGACTTGTTTTATCCAACTATCTAATAAACTTTCCATAGTTCCTTGTTTCCTGCCGCTGTTTCTAAACATCCATCTGTCTAATAATTTTGACTT